TAAAAGGGAGTAATAAACCTACTTTAAAGAGTGACATTCCCTGATTTGTCCTCACTGCCGGGCACATAATAGGCAGTTGGTAAATATTTGAAAAAAATGAAGGCATTCATGTTGTGAAGATTAAATACAATTTCTATAAAAGACCCATAGGGTGTTGCAAATAGTAAGTACTCAAAATTATAGCTAAAATGTGGATTTTTTTCGTTTAAAAAAAGACTATTCCACTGCATAAAGCCCAAGTTTTCATTTTCATTTTAAGAAATAAATAATCCAAACAGAAGAACCAATTATAGAACATAGGACTTTAAGAAAAATAATAATCATTAAATTCTTCATAGGGTTTTGGGAAGGAATGGACCTTAGATATCCTCCCATATAAGTCTTTTGTTTTATTAATAAAGAAACAGATATGTCAGCACTCGAATAATTTTATCAAGAATTGCTTTAACTTTGGTCTTCTTCTCAGCTAAGTACTGTTTCCCTATTCCTGTACTGAAGTTATTACATATTTGAATTCCAATCAGCAGACTTTAAGTTTATTTTTATTTTAGCATCTTGTTCAATTTGACCCAAAGCCTTTCAGTTATTTCAATTCCTATTCTGTCATCCATGCTGTACGCTCATCAGATTTGTAGGTAACATGACTTTGGAGGTCGTTATTCAGGTCATTAACTGGGTTATTAATCACGTAGAATCATGAACCAGCGAGGTCAGGGCAGAGCCCACGAGGAGCCTGCTTGTGGGCCGATATGCAGTCCAGCTTCCTTTGGCCCAGTCATTCCATCAAATGCAAACCCTCAGAGCGATGTTAGCAGCAGCTCATGTTTATGTCTTGTCTATAGAAATGACTTGCTCTGCTATGTTGAGTCTTTGTGATTTTTCATGAGTGACAGACAACACTGATATGTATCTAAATGTTCTTCTATTACCATAGGGTTTGATTCGTTAAGGTCAGAAAACAAAATTATTGACTGTGTTTAGGGAAATTTTCTTATAATCCCTTTTCTAGTCCTAGATGTTAATTCTTTTACACTTAACAAATTGAATTTGTCTTCCCTCCCTCGCTTCCTTCTGCCAATAAAATGACATTGTTTTTCTCCCAAGAATATGGGACTTTCCGTTTACTGGCCAGTTTCTTTCTGTTCAGAATGAGGTGTGGTCCCTGCCCGCCTCTGCTCGGTTGTGTGGCAGAGCCGGGAGCCCGGCTTGGAGCCCTGACGCGGGCCCCTTCTCCTTCCTGATGTAGATGGGAACATGCCAGGTTCCCGGCTGTGAGCAGAGCAGGAGGGCCGTTCGTAATACACGTCAACATTAACGGAAACTAGGCAGTGCTGGGCCAGGATGTTGTCATTATTCTTGGAGCCCCTGTTTCCTCCGGGAAAGGAAGTTATCACCCGGGGAGGAGAGGATTGGCAGGTGCACGGATTTGTCCGTATATGACTAATAACCATTAGGTCCTCCGTTCATTCTGTGTGATTTATGGCTCCTCAGACATTTCATCTCCTTAGGTGGTCGCGTTGTGTTCCAGCTGCCCTTGGGTGAGTGCATTTCTCTAAGGCGCGCTCCAGGGTGAGATGCCATGACCCGTGAGAGGCCTCCATGGTGCAGGCTCTGTAACTCACAAATAGGGTCTGATTGTTAAATACAAACTAGACTGTTACCCTGGGAAGTCTCTTCATGTGGCTTTTTCACCTTCGCTGAGATGTTTAACACCTTGGCCCCATCCCAGGCATGAATCGGATGCTCCCAGTGCGGGAGCGCTCTCGGACGGAGGAGGACATCCTGCGGGCGGCGCTCAGGGGCGGCCGGAGGCCCGGGAGCCACGCCGCGTCCGCCTCCGACGACTCCAATGGGCTGGAGTGGGAGAGCGACTTCGTGAGCGCCGACGTGGACGACAACGGCAACTCCGAGTTCTCTGGCTTCGTGAACCCCGTGCTGGACCTTTCGGAGCCCGGCGGGAAGCCAGTGGGCGGAGAGCCACAGACACGAGGGGGTCAGATCTTGTGACCCTGCTTGGCAGGGGGGACCCAGTACTAACCCCAGCGAGAATGTATAAATCATGCATCGGAGGTGGAGCCGTATACATGCTGTCAGAAAGGACCCGTGATGGGCTGTGTCTGAACTGCTTCAGAACAAGTGCAATTTCAGCATCTGCCTTCGTTTTCAAAACAAGTTCATGGTTCTGTCACAGTATCAAGTACATTCCCGTTTGCAGTCTGTAGGTGTTCTTTTTAGGATAGCTTTGTTGGTTGTACTTAGTATGACTGCAGAAGCTTGTTTCAGTGTCTGACTGAGAGTATTAAGGCTTTTGGTGTGACGCTCAGCAGACAGGAGGGAGCAGAGGACGGAGCGCCCGGCTCAGACTCGGAATGACGGTCCCGCTGCGCATGCCTGTCCCGCAGCTCGCTCACCACCTGGTCGTAGCAGTTACTCTAGGAGGTGACTTGAATGCTCGCGTGTCATTCTCTGTCCACACTGACTGCACATCCAAGTAGGAAATGATAGGACAGAGGAAGCTTCCCGAGTTCGAACACTTGAAGTTGGTAATCAGGAGTAATTGAAGAAGAATGTTCACTTCCTTTTACATGCGCTACAAATGAATGTTGACTTTAATTGATATATTAAATTTCTAGACGTCTTTTTTTTTTTTTTTATTTCCAGTGACTGGTCTTAGGAAGATCTTATTCTCTGCATCATTTAATAAGAAAGGAAAACCTACCAAGGAAATACGGGTATTTCGGTGTAAATAAGTCCTTTCTGGTGTGGAAGGATCTGTGGGTTTCTATTCAGTTCCCTTTGCCTTGTAGTTCACGGTGCACTAATGGGCTGGGATTAAGGCCATCAGTAATACACCTCCTCTTTGTGGTGGACAGCGAGCTCTTTCCTCTAAAGGTTAGGCACCAACTTCAAAGGCCAAGGAGACGCCTAGTGGCTTGTCTGGATTTTGCTGAGAATTGATATGATTTCAGTCAGCAAACTTGATTTTTTCCTCAGTGCTTTTTCCTTTTCTTTTCTTGCAACAATGACAGTGCATGTTCTCAAAACTACAGGAAGGTCCAGGTGTAAATAGTGACTCGGATTCTTGCTGCACTTAACGCATCACGTGGTCCTTCAGTGTCTGAGCTGCTCGGCAAGGGCATCTGTGGTTCTGTCACTTTATCTCATAGACCTACACATGACACTAAGTATGTAGACGTGTTCGGTAACGCTATTGTTTATGTCTGTGTTCGCATCATTTACGTTGTAGCTATGTCATGGGAATATTTTAAAGGTAATCTATACTCACACTGCCTGTTATGCTTTTTGAAGTTTATATACATCTGATGTATATTCTTTGTTTGGCATAAGCTACTATTGTAATTTTTTTGCATTTTGTTCATGAAAAATTTTTTGGAGGAATGGCAGCTTGTTGAGGATTGTGAATAAACACATTTTTACATTTAAAAACTAATTTTTAGAAATTATTGTTTTATTCCGTAAACATGCCATAATTATTTTTTCTTTATTTTTTTTAAATTTTTTAAATTGTTCAAGGTATTACAAATAGTAATACATATGTCTCCTAACAGGCAGTGACCCTGACTTCTGACAGTTATTTTATTAAATCTGCTATGAAGACAAAAAGTAGTAAATTAGGAAAGCAGGCTGGAACTAAACTTGAAAATGTTTGTTTTAGCTGCTATGAAAAGGATATTAAATTTTTTGTTGTTGTTAATCCTCACTTGAGAATATTTTCCCATTGATTTTTAGAGGGAGTGGAAGGGAAGGAGAAGCAGAGACACATCGATGGGTTGCCTCCCGCATGTGCCCTTGACCAGAATTGAACCCAGGACCCTTCAGTCTGCAGGCCAACACTCTGAGCCCAACTGGCTAGGGCTGATTTCTTTATGTTTATTAAAAACACTGGAAATAACTGGTTTTTGAGCAGATATTGGAGAATCTCCTGTTTCTGGCAGGGTGAGCTTGGGAACATCGCAGTGAAAAGTTCCTGCTGTTGTTTCCCTTCTGGCAAGAGAGACAGACAATAGCAAGTAATTGGGAAATCACAGGTGACAGCAGGAGATGCACTGGATGGCGGACAGGGCAGCACGGGGACGAGGGACTGGGTTTGACAGGTCAGGAGCCCTCTGAAGAGATGGCCTTGGACCGGAGACACTGGAGCAGGACCAGCCAGGGCCAAGGCCTGGGAAGCATGTGATAAGAAAGGGAACCGAATGTGCAGGTGAGGCGGGAGGGAGTTTGTATGTTCCGAGCATAAAAGACCACTTGGCCAGTCACGTGAGGCCTGTAGGCATGGAGAGGGATGAGTTTTAAAAAAACAAAACAAAATGAGATATTTGGCAAAAAAAATACTAAGTATTCTTATTGATTTTAAAAGAGAGAGGAAGGGAGAGGGGGAGAGAGAAACATAGATGAGATAGAAACATCAATGATGAGAATCATTGATCAGCTGCCTCCTGCACACCCCACACTGGGGATCAAACCCCCAGCCTGGGCATGTGCCCCGACCAGGAATCAACCTCCTGGTTCATAGGCCAGCGCTCAGCCACTGAGCCATGCCGGAGGGCAGGTGAGTTTTATTGATGTAGAAGAGGAAGCTGGAGTACAGTGAGCACAAAGTGCTCTAGCCGCTGTGCAGGCGGGCTGTAGAGGGCACCCCTCATGGGCCATGGCGGGGCCGGAGCGGGAACGGCTGTTGGAACGCAGAGCAGAGTCTTCTGAGGGGTCAGACATGGGTAGGAGAGGGGGGTCAGAGACAGCTTAGCTGCAGTACCTCCTGTCAGCACCCCGCTCGGCAGTCTCGAATGGCACCCCTGGAGAGCTGACTGGTGGAGGGCGGGTTCTCTGATCGGTCCTGGCACCCGGTGGCCCTGGGTCAGCACACGGAGTGAGGAGGAGAGGAGAATGGCTCGGACACACGCGGGCAGAGCTGCGTGTCTGAGTGCACAGTCTCGGGCTCGGCCGCACTGGTCCTGTCCTTAGAGTTTCCAAGAAAATGGTTGGAGAATTAAACAGATTTTATTAGGTGCGTAGGTGCTGTTGACATTTGGAATTCGTGGAATTAAACATTTGAATAGGACATAAAGATCAGTTTAAAATTGGGTAAGAAAACAAACATACTTTTGCATTTAGCACAGTGGTTCAATAAAATGTTTTAAGTGCTGTTTTTAGGTGCTGATTACAGACAAGAACTTTATTCTTGAGAACAGACACACACTATAATCCCATCGGTCGGAAGTCAAGGTATTAGCTCAGATAAGCTCCCACATTAAAGCCACAGCGATGCGCAGGCACTAACACACACGCTCCCCTCCAGGCCGGTGCCCGACAACCAGCAGGCTGCGTGCGGCATTGGCAACCATCTGCCTGTAGCCTTGGCCTTAAAACCAGTGGCTGCTGTGAGATCATGTGACCTGGAGGTGGTTCTTACAAAACAAAGCACAGGACTAACATCAGGTGTAAAGAGAAAACACTACAACCCTATTGGTCATCACTCCATCACCACACGCCACGTGGATGAACCCTCAGTACATCCAGCCACGCACCAGGCAACCGAGTCGGTGCCTCCCATGAATTACAGGCTTCGGAACGGCAGCCCCGGGTCCCAGACTCCACGGCATCAGCAGGTGACAGCCTGGCTGCAGGTAAACGCAGTCAGTGGCGTCCGCAGAGCGCTCCGTCCGCCTCTGCTCTTGCCTGTGGCTAATACTCATTCTCATCCATTTCCCTCGGAGAAGCACTCAGGGAAGTGCTCTGGGTGCACCACAACGAGGACCTGCAGAACTCGGGGGTGGGCTTGCCTGCGGGCCAGTCGTGTTCCTGCAGGAGAGGCCTGGGGGACATAACGAACAGAGTCTCGAAAAACTCCAGGGACTCCCCGTCTTCCTTCTCTACGAGGAGCTGGTACTCGCCAAAGCGGACCATGCACCTGTAGGGCAGCTCCACCTTGTTCAGGTAGCCCAGCTCCGTGCTGTCCACCAGCAGGCTGGTCTTCCTGCTCATGTTCTTGATCTCAAAAGAGAGAACGGAGCTGTCGAACTTTTTAAACAGCTGCAGGGAGAACTGAACTCGCGAAACCTGCTTGTCCTGAAAAGTGTAGCGACAGATGGTGGAATTCCGGCCAAATTTCACCACTTCACTGGACGGGAGCTTCTCTGGGTTATAGAACCTTATCGATTGGAATATCCCATTTTGCATCTGGCCAGGATGGTAAATGGTGACCCGCAGACTCGTCACTGTCTCTTCCGTGTCTGCGTCTTCGAAACTGGACATGGCGGCAGCAGTACCTGCCTGCAAGTCAGCAGCACATTAGTTCACGTCCCACTCTGGGCACCGAGACCTTTTTTTAAATATATATATATATATATTACACACACACACACACACACACACACACACACACACTAGAGGCCTGGTGCATGACATTCGTGCATGGGGGGGGTGTCCCTCACCAATCTGGGACCCCTCAGATGATGTCCCTTTCACAATCCAGGACTGCTGGCTCCCAACCGCTAGCCTGCCTGATTGCCCTTAACTGCTTCTGCCTGCCAGCCTGATAACCCCCTAACCACTCCCTTGCCAGCCTGATCGATGCCTAACTACTCCCCTGCCGGCCCGGTCGCCCCCAACTGCCCTCCCCTGCCGGCCCGGTCGCCCCCAACTGCCCTCCCCTGCTGGCCTGGTCACCCCCAACTGCCCTCCCCTGCCAGCCATCTGATGGTCAATTTGTATATTACCTCTTTAATATATAGGGCTGATTGATTTCAGAGAGGAAGGGAGAGGGAGATAGAAACATCAATGAGATCGAAACATCAATGAGATCGGCTGCCTCCTGCATGCCCCACATTGGAGATCACAACCCCTGCATGCCCCACATTGGAGATCACAACCCAGGATGTGCCCTGACCAGGAATTGAACCGTGACCTCCTGGTTCACAGGTCGATGCTCAACCACTGAGCCATGCCAGCTGGGCGAGGCAATGAAATCTTGATTCTCATATTTGATGAAAATCTTCTGATAGGTCATTTAGATTTTAAGTTAAGAAAACAATACATAGAATCCTTTCAATTATACGTGAAATTGTATACCAAGCTCTGTGAATTGGTGTTAACCCTTTTCCTATCTCTTTTTCATTTCTAGTTTGATAAGGCCATACATGTAATCCAACAACAAAAGAAGTAATTATTGATAATAAAGTGGTTTGTGGGGGGCATAACAAAACCCCAGTTTCCTTCTCATTTAAATAGAGCTGCTGGGGCCCAGACAGCAGGGCAGCTGTGCTTGAAAGGGGAATCGGGAATAAAGGGTCTTGCCTTTGGTCTGAATGTCCTCAGAGGACGAACCTATAAAAACTATCATTTACTGTTAGAATTAGAGGGATGTGAATTCTGAAGCCTGATTAAAGAAAGATTTAAAAAGTCATAAATAATTGCAACATTTACCTTCATCAGTTGTACTTCTAGTAGGTAAATGGTTAAAAATAGTAAGTGATTTCAAAGGGTATTTTACCATTTTAAAATGTAGATGTGACACCTTTAAAGTCTCTCAGACGTAGTTCTAAGCACAGTCGCACAGTCGGACTCCACGGGAGTTGTTTGTTTTTGCCAGATGTCCCTAAGGACTGGACAGCTGTCAGCAACCACAAGCGGCCCAACTGCTGCTACCACGCCGGCCACACCTGCACCCGGGAGGGCCCCCCCTACCCCCCCTCATTGCGGGGACCTCAGCAGTCAGTGGGGTAGAGGGTATCAGAGGACAGGAGAGTTCGTTACCAAAACCCCTGGAGGTTATTTTGACACAGAAATGCCATTTTAAAACTTTAAAAAGGGTTACATGCACACAATTACAAAGTTCAAACAGTAAAGGCTTTTTTAAAAAATACCTTTCCCTCCATAGCCGGGTTGGCTTATTAGATATGGGGTCAGGAAGCGGGCTGAAGGGAACCGGGTTCGATTCCAGTCAAGGGCACACGCCCGGGTATCGGGCTTGATCCCCAGTGTGGGGTGTGCAGGAGGCAGCCAATGAATGATTCTCATCATTGATGTTTCTGTATCTCTCTCCCTCTCCCTCTCCCTCTCCCTTCCTCTCTGAAATCAATAAAAATATATATTCTTAAAAAGTAGCTTCCCTCCACCCTAATCCTGTTTCCTCTTCTAGAATCAACAGTTGTAAAGTTGATTTTACCCATAAAAAAATTCTTTACACAACAAGCATACTAGGTCTTGCATTTTTCAATTAATAATACAAATGGATGCTTCTCCCATATCTACACATAAATGCCCCTCATTCTTTACCAGCAGCCCCAAGTCCTCTAAGTCAGTGTGTTGGGAAACCACACCCCCTGGCGGTGGGCTTGCTGCCTGCATTCTTCAAACCCTGGTAAGTCCTCCCTCCTAAGTCCTAAGGCAGGCTGATTTGTGACTTCTGTGTTTTTGTCTGCCGCCTGTATTAGATGTTAGTATCAGAGCTGGTTTAAAAAACCGCTTTCATTTCCTTTCTATGGTTCCTGGTATTGTAACACACAAATTTTTTTTTTGCTTTTTTGACAAAGTGATGCTGCTAAAAATCAAATTGTCAACTTATTCAACAAATGACAGAGCTAAGCAATTTCTTTTTATTCATTTGGAAATATGTAACTTTACTTCCGTAACCGATTCTGCGTGCAGGTTTTTACACCCTATTGTATTAGCCACGGAGACACTCGGCTGGGAACAGGAAAAGTGAAAGGAACCCTTAAGATCATGGGCCCATTTGTGGTAAAAATTACGATGAAATCAAAGACAGCAAGAATCAACCCACAGCGCTAACATCGGTGAATCCACCCTAGACTGTGATTTTAGAGACTGTAGTTGTGACCCTGGTGGGGGAGGGAGCAGGGAGGCGTGTGTTAGAATCAGCAGGACACCGCTGGAACCTGGCGCTGGGAGGGACCCGCTGGGTCCACCCCCAGGTGTGTGGACCTGGTTCCTACTTGCTAGCAATGGGGCAGCCAGGTTGTTAGGGTGAATGTGTCTCTGACCTCAAGGACACAGAGCGGTACGCTCTGCCCATTTAACACGTCCACCTGCAAGGTCCCTCAGTGAGTGGCCTGAGCCCTGCCATTCCAGGGTGGTCGGTAGAAAATCAGAAAAGACAGAACTAACCAAAAAACACCCTGAAAGTTAAAATAGGTGGGTCTTTTCTTTAAAACACAAACACTAGCCCTAACGGTTTGGCTCTGGATAAAGGGTGGGCCTGCGGACTGAAAGGTCCCAGGTTCGATTCCGGTCAAGGGCACACGTCCAGGTTGTGGGCTCATCCCCAGTAGGGGGCATGCAGGAGGCAGCCAATCAATGATTCTCACCATTGATGTTTCTATCTCCCTCTCCCTTTCTGAAATCAATAAAAATATCCTATCTAATAAAGAGGGAATATGCTTATTAACTCTCACACCATCGCAAAGATGGTGGCACCCACAGCCAATAAGGAGGGAATATGCTCATTGCTGCCCCACCTTCAAATATGGTGGCACCCACAGCCAATAAGGAGGGAATATACTAATTGACTGCCCGCCCTCAAAGATGGCGGCGCCCACAGCCACAAGATGGCAGCACCCAGTCCCCTCAGCCCCAGGGCCGCCTGAGACTCAGGTAAGCAGGGCCGGCCGAGGCTTGCGCTGCTGGCAGTGGCAGCAGCAGAGGTGTGATGGGGCCTTGCCTTCCCCTGATCGCTGGGTAGCCTCCCGCCCCTGAGGGCTCCTGGACAGTGAGAGGGGGTAGGCCGGGCTGAGGGACGCCCCCCCTCCAGGGCATGAATTTTCATGCACCGGGCCTTTAGTATATAATAAAAGCCTAATATGCAAATTGTCTCCTTGGGCAGTCATTTGACCACTCGCTATGGCATGCACTGACCACCAGGAGGTGGCAAAGAACAGGGTAGGTGTTGGCGACACAGCGCCGGCAGTGGAGGTGCCCCAACGAGAGTGGGACCACAGTGGGATGGTGGAGCAGGTGAGCGGGCGGCGCCAGGTCAAGGCGGGTGGGAGCGGGAGCCCGATCACCCCACAGATGGCAACCAGCGCGGTGGGGCACAGGGCCGCCGCCCAGCTCCCAGGCCCTGAGAGAGCCCAGTGTGTGTTTGGGGGGGGGGGGGGGGTGTGCCCCAATCAATGGCCCTGAAGGCGAATGGGAGAGCAGGGTAGGGGGCAGCACCAGGCCAAGGCAGGGCTGTGAGGCTGGGGGTGCGAGCTGGGGCCCGATCCCCACAAGCCACCCTGAAGGACCCGCCCGTGCACAAATTCATGCACCGGGCCTCTAGTGTATAAAATAAATAAACAGCACGCACTAACGGGCAGGTGCCCAAACGCAGCCTTTTCAAATCCCACATGTTACCATAGAGACTGGAGCAGTGGGCTCTCACCACAGTGGTGACCTCTGCAGAGGGGACTCCCCCACACTCCCGACCTTTGACCTCTGTGCCACGTGCACTTAACACCTATTCCAGATTTCACAGATATTGTCGTTACAAAATCACAAACCATCTGATTTTATGGAATGACATGAAGTTGGAGACCAGCTGAGTATCATTCAAGTCGTAAACTGGTATCAGACATGAAAAGGCTGCGATACTCTGGGAGGATACCCGGCAGCAATGTCTGTGTCGGCAAATGAACTGGGATAAACAGACAGGAACAAAGAGGGGTTGGGGGGGGCCGGCCGGTTCGGCTCAGTGGATGGAGCATCTGCCTGCGGACTGAAGGGTCCAGGTCAGGGCACGTGCCGGGGTTGTGGGCTCCATCCCCAGTGGGGGCCGTGCAGGAGGCAGCTGATCCATGATTCTCTCTCATCTTTGGTGTTTCTCTCTCTCTCCCTTCCTCTCTGAAATCAATAAATATATATATATTTTTTTTTAAAAAAGGCGCCGGGCTTCGG